CACAGACGTCACACAGAGATACCCTACCCTTTAATAATTAGGATTCTTATTTGTTTTCAAATGTACACTTTCACATTAGGGGGGGTATGTATTGCAAAGCGAGTTTACGAGCACATCAATAGAAATGATGGCATTTACAGATCTAAGTTACAGAAACTGAGACCCCTAACCAGACCATTTATTTCTAGGAAAAAAAAACATTCCACATGCACTACCATGTACATACATGTACACCGACCGGTACATGTACATCATGTACATGTACACCAAGCGGTACATGTACATCATACATGTGTATGCACCGGTACTAACCTGGGATATTTCATCATTCTGCCTGTACAATTCATATGCATACAGTTGTACATGTTCCAGTTCACAATGACATGTAATTGTAGGCATTTCGTACAAGGTGCAGGTAGGTATTGTGACACATACGTTGGACTTTCAATCGGTTTGTCCCTCATATCAGGAACTGATGTATCACTGACTATGCAGGTACAATGTAGCATACATGTACATGTATGATGTAGTTACCACACAGCAAACCTGGACACTGTGTGAACAAGACTACAAGGTCATTAGATGGTACACTAACAGTATGTCACTTAATAGTGCACCATGGGGTGAAAATTACAAATTACACTGGTACAAGGCTTTCAACAAAACAGAATTTCCAAGTGACAAGAAATAAATGCATTGCAACCATTCAACAGCTCACAGCTACTGGAATGCGTCTCCGCATGGGTAATAAACTCTACAATAAACTCGACCACATGTACAGGGGTACATGTACATGTACTGCACGCTGTACTGCATTACATGGAACTGAAATTCATTCTCAACATGTGCTTGTTCGTTGTCAGTGCTTATGTCATAAGAATTTACACATCTGCATACACATGTACATGAATGTTGGAACATGGATGTATTTTTAACATTCACTGTTCAGTAGGCATTTGCTTGGCAGACGATGGTAAAGATCTCTACCCGTAATTTAAGCATTTCACCAAACTGAATGCTGACAGACAGACCACAATTCAATCATGATTTGTTCACTGAACCCAAGTCTCGTCTTGTATTTTCGGTGAGCGATGAGTGTAATAAAATCATGCGCATCTACCGTTATCAACGTCCCATAGCCTCTCGATCTCCTCTCCCTAATGCTTGTACAGCGACAGGCATGATCACATCATACGCTGTGTGGTTACAGATTGCTAGTCTGAAACTAAGGACTACGGAACCTTTTCTCCTGAGAATTTCAGACACCATGTAAACCTGCTGGCTGAGCGCACCTGCACAGGGAGTTTAATAATGACAAGACAGCATCTGCTGAGTCACAGACCGTTTGAGCACCATCGCCTTAGTTAATGAGACTGAGAGGAGCTGTCACTAAACAGGGGCACACCCATAGCCTTCTGAGAATGCTCAGGGTTGAGACATTAAGATGTAACAGGCAATGGAAGTAACTATATGTAAACTCATCCTGTGAAGGGATGACACATTCTCACAAAGACCATCCTAAAACTAACCCCTTTGTTCAATGCTGTGTACATAAGTACAGCAGTTAACACGCAACTGCTAATTTGGCCAGCCTTGACACAAACAAACATGCAAGTAAGCTTGGCCTTTTTCCTTTCTTTCTTTCCCACATGTACATCTACCGACACATTTCTCTTTCTGCACTACGCAAGTTCACAGCCCTCTACATTGTATTTTTGCTCACTCCAGCATACCGGTACATGTACATAAAAGTCCTCCTCGGTTACCATCCTACACACTAGGGGTACACATGGAAGCCCAGTATCTCCATGTGGTGACCTGTGGTGACCTCCCTAGCTTTGTTTACAAAAATGCTGCAGAATAATCCACAATGTTTATCTTTGTGCTGTGCCATTACAGACAAAATACCAATGGTTAGATGAAATGGCTAGATGGCTACCTATTCCAAACAATTACCAAAAAGCAGAATGTTAGAACTCTCCACACTGGCTTTAAAAGTGATCATGGAGGGCTTACATGTACATGTAATTCACTGCTCATTTTCCACTAATTTTTTTTTTACTGTTGGTAAACTGAAGGAAATTTGGGGGTAAATTTTCACACGCAAAAATTTGAAACTACCCATATAGGTACATGTAAATGGGTGGGTCCCATTTCCTGAAATTATGAAAAGCTGCTCCAAAAAAATGAATTTTATGTAGAACACTGCATGCACAGTGCATGCATTAGTATTTCCCCATCAAACCATGTTTTTCAAATAATAAAAACTATAAAAAAATTTATCTCTTTAAACTCCATGTAATAAATCACTTTTTAAGTCCCAATAAACACATCACATTTGGTTGAGGCATACATGTACATGTACGCACAATGCCCCTTTAGACTGTGCTTGTTCACTGAAGCATTAAAGCAAATCTTGGTAACACAAACACAGGAACAGTGTAAGGCAGGTGGGCAGGCAGGATTGCATGAGCATGGAAGTGAAATAAAACCACAGGAAATTACATGCTTCATACAAAAAACCTTTTTCACAGAACCATTACTTAGGCAATAAACCACCAATCCTAGTCACCTCAAATATACTTCAAATTACTTGTCTGCCATATATGGATCTTAGCCCTGAGTAAGCCACTGTTGATCTTGTTCCTCGTATCCGTATTCTAAATTGTTCACAGTTGAATGGGATGGGATCAGACTCTGGATTTTTGTGGGATGCAAGCCTCTCTTTCATTTTATTCAAATCTTACATATAAAACACTAAGACATGTACAAGTACATTTATCACAAATTCCAGTTTATTCATCAGAGTGAACAGGTGGGCCTAATAATTTGTCTGGAAAATTTCATTTATTCTTTCACTGATGCCCTCAACAAGTTCAAAATGAAAAGTCAACTTTGCTTTCAGTATCAACATGGCCTAATGAGGAATAATGTTCATTACAGAGCTAGGAATCCAGGGCATCATGTGGCCATCACTGTTTTGTACATGACATGTGTACGCTAGACTGGTAGCAAGTTTATGTTCATTTGACAAGCCTTTGTTAGTGAGGCCTTCAACTGGGAACAACTACGCGAAGTAACCATTTGACATTTCATGAAAATGTCAACTTTCAGTTTATGCTTTTCCTTAGGCTTAATTCCACTCCATTCAAACAGAAGGAACAAAGTGGGTGTTTTTCATTTTCCTCACTGCTGACTGAAATGGAGGAACTGACTTTTCTGCCTAACACTTTTTTCCACAAAAACTGTACAGAATCAAGCTATCATAAACTATAAATTTAGCCTGATGAAGACAAGAGCTTGTATCACTTCATGGGTTTCCATCATTTCCCAACTTTTGGGTCACTTTTAAATTCCACACAATACAGGCAGGGTCTTCTACAAGTATTGAATTTCATTTGGCTTGGGCTTTGACTTTATTTCCGTCCAATTCAGCTTTAAAAAGATTGAAAAATTGCTGACATTACATAAGTACTTCACAGGATTTCATGACAGGACAGCAGCTTGTCAACTCTCCAGTTAGTATGACTTGTTCCCCCTTATCTCCCAAGGGTTCAAAATCCAATCATTTGCCCCAGAGGTCCTCCACAGACAGAGTCAAACTCCATATTCTGAGCTTGAAGTTGAATGAAGTGCCCTGTCCAATGACACTGACCACAACAGGAATACCAGACAATGAGCTAGTGTGCCCTCCATACCACAGACCACACCTGCACACACTGCACCTGCATACACCGCACCTGTTAGTCTGCAGGATTTCTTCACTTAATTAAATTTAAAAGCACGAACATGAATTCATGACAAGGTTGATGAATTTACCATCACTGTTCAGATCTGAGGCTCAAATTGTGATACTAACTTTCATGTTATTGTTAACGTTATGTCCATGTAGGGTACTTAAGACCAGGCCTATACCATTTCCTTCTTGAACCATTCCATGCCCTTCCATCAAAACAAGAGATGGTCAGTAAGTCAAACGTTACATGTACATGTACTAGAATGATCATTCTGCAAACTATTGTACTAATGCATTTCACGAAACATTTAAAGCAAATGCCTGCTCTGGCTTTCTGCATGATAACGGGACTCCATGAAATCTCACAATTTCATAATTTTTTACATCCAAAAAATTTGAAATGTTTTCCTAACTTGGTGTTACGATAATCACGCTTCCATGAGAAAGTACATTTTTTATCATTTTTTGGTACTTTTTACAAAAAGTATTCATGTCTCTTTAAGTCCAGTGGTGCATAATTCTTTTACACAGACAAGTGCCGATATCTCATACTAATGGACTTCAACCTCCAGCAGACTTGTGCAGTAAGTGCATGTACATGGGCACGTTCTTTCTCCCGTTGTTCAAAATGAGCGTGCTTGTTACTCGCACTTTTTTATTCCGCCATGGTTCAACATAGGTTGAACTTCAAACCTAGAAATCATTGACACTGTAGTCGTTACTGTGGAAACCTGCTTGGAACTGTCAACAGCAAATTCACATTTCCCACATACCAAGCATGCAAACTGTTCTCCATTGTATATAATAATCAATTATAACACTCAGTTCTTATATAGCGCATAGGCCTATTACGGAATGTCTCTATCCACTTATCCCTGCACTTTACACACAACATTATTCCTAATCCATGCTGACTGCAGGTAATGCTGAATGCTGTGTCCTTCACTACACTCACCACCGAAAATCCAACATTCACAAAAGAGTTTTCAGTTTGGAACTGAATAGCAAGCTAAAAATTACCCAGTCTTTATGACATAAAATTCCAATGTACATGAAGATACGATACACGCAATAATGAAGTGCACAAAAGATACACAAGCACCTGCTAGATATTACTGTTGTGTGACTGAGTTATTGGGTATTTCTTTAAAAAAAATAAACTCACATTTGAATAATTTGTGAGTTTGAACTTTCACTGTCGAACTGCAACACATTTCTGCTGGCAAAGACTGCAATTCAAATACCTGATTGTACATGTACTTACCCTTCCTGCAGCTTTCTTGTATCTCTGGACGGACTTCTCCATCAATTCTGCAACAGTGAGGTCCCCACTCCCACAGGGGACCACCACTTTGACAGTTCCAAAACATACTGTCACCTTCATGGTTTGTAGTCGAGTGAATTATGAAGTGACATCAATGTTCCAAACCAAGAACGAAATTCACCAAAATTCACCAACTCGTCATGACATTTACATGTATGCTTAAGCTGTCAACACATTGTTCACTCGAATGCAAAGAAGTCCAGAAATACTCATCAACTGTCCCAGGATCTGGCAGGCTAATTAATAGTTTTATCGTGGGCAGTCCGGGCGCGGCGTGTTTCAACGATGAGTCACAGGCCGGTGGTTGGGCCCTGTTGCACCGGCGAAGGTCCACGAGTGATCACGGTGCAACTAAGCGGTAAAACTTTCTACGTCGGTGTCACGCATTCATTAATCGGATTACCTCCAGTAAATCTGCGAAAAAGGTAAACATTAAGACACCAGATATCAGCTTTCATACTCATGGATGTTCTGGGATAGGGTTTCAAAGTCAAAATCAAACAAATCGCGCTCAAAAGTATAAAATACGACTTAACTGTTTAAGACAAATAACGTCAATCGCTGAACCGGATTCGTAACAAATACTGTTCACGAGTTTGGGACACAAAAATCACAGATGGGCGCGAACAACTCACCAGTAGTTTGAGTGAAATACTTCAAATAATGTCTCCATTTCTTCCCCAAGTAGTTACCTCGATCCTACTTATGACGAACTTTCATCACTCAAACACCTTTTCGACGGAAAAGGGGGAAAATTTGGGTGGTATTTTGAACGTTTTGACTCAAAACATTACCACATCCGACATTCGTTGTGGCCGGCTATGTGGTTGTAAGTGGACTATACCATTCAATATTTCGGGGAGGACGAAGGATACCGCTGACAGGAGGGGAAGAGTCTGTTTTCAAAACTAAAGTACTGCACTCTACCATGTTTATCTCTTTGCTTGAAAATCCTTCGAGAAATTGAATATACGCAGTAAAAATAATATTTTGACAATGAAATGAGCACTGAAATATTTAAATGATATTAGTTCAAGGCACCCAATTTTACAACCCCCGTGAGCCCGAATCAAAAGTCTAAACGCGCATCTGATAACAAAGAGGGCGCTTTACTCACAATGCGCAGGCCGGCCGTGAGTGACACCAAAATTGTAAATAGAACCCCCAAAAAGACAAGAAAAGATGAAACAAAAAGGACAAAATTAAAATAAAAAAAACATGAATTGCTTAAAATTATCCATAAACATACACCTTGTGTAAACTCATGTCTATAAACAAACATTCAGCAGGGTCAAATCCAGGATTTCTTTACGGGAGGGAGCTGTATTTGTGGCTGTTGTTGAAGCATTTTAATTTCTGTTCACCGAACACGCAAATAACACCTCGACAGGGTTTCTACATTTCAGATGGCTTGCAAACTTCAGACGTGGGTTTGAAAACATGCAATGTTTGACCCCCCCTCGGTGCCTGTTCGGTATTCTCCATTGAATTTCCATTGCTATTTTCTTACGTCTTTTTTGGTTTCCTTTTTAATTTGCCTTTATGAAACTACAAAGGCCGATTTGGCCATGCCGTCTTATAAATAAACGAGTTATAAATAAACGAAGTTTCAAGGTGTCTAGAGTTCATCCGCACAAGTCATGTATGCTTTTATGACGTGATGACAGAAAGAAAACAGAAGAGCAACGCTGAATAACCCACAAATGATATGACACGATCGGTCGATTCGCACGATTGCCTCATTGCTCTGCGCAAATGGTCAACCCTTTCTGAAATCCGCAATTTGATTTCCCTTTTTGAAATATTTCACTCCCGCGGATGAGAAAGATGCGGAAGTTTAAAGTGACCATGTGCGTTTCCACGTTTCCAAGACATTATCACTGAAAGACAGAATACCCTGATTTTTGGACGTGTACGGTGTAGTACAACTGGGGAAGACGCCTTTCTATGATATCTTGGAAAGGGATAGATAACTAGGAAAAACGTCTTTCCCATTTATGATATTACGGAAAGACGCCATTCTTAGCTAGAACATTCCGGAAAGACATTTTTCCAAGATAGTATATCACAGACAAACACTTTACAGCAGCTGAAGTTTAAGTGATCATGACTAAGACAAGATATCGTGGAAAGACGTCTTTCATAGAAACCATTTTAGAGAAACGTCTTTAACTTTAAGAGTAAATAGGGAAAGAGGCCTTTCTGAGATAGGATATCCGAGGAAGACGTCTTTCCGAGAAAAGACATCTGGGAACGACGCCTTGCTTAGATGCAGTATCAGGGAAGAACCTTGGAAAGACATATTCCGCCATTCCAAGAAAATATACTTTGGAACACTGGTCTGACACAACGCAGAATTAATTATATATAATTAGCAGAATTAATTGTACATCATGCTTAGAACATCGTTATCTCACCGCAGGATTAGGAACACTCCCTCTGAAAGGACTGTTCTTTCTCTATGCTCTGACATAGTAAACCAGCCACGGTCCTATCGTAGCCCGAATAACATTCGGGGGCACTTTAGATTCTGAAATGCATATATGAGATCACTTGTAGTTTTTTCTTGAATAATTTTTCTGATCACAAATCAATATGGTAAGGGGCAGAACACAATGTCCATTATTATAAAGGTTAGCCGACAGACGGGGTTACAAAAACTATGATAAATCGGTAAGGTGTCTGTCCGTGAAGGCCTGTTCCCTGGTCCCTGTCACGGTCGAGCCTCGAGCGTTAAAGACCCAGGGAGGTCACGATAGCCAATCATTTACGGTACGTTCCAACTGTCCAATTATACGGGCATGAATACCGCTGGGGAGTGGGTGTGACAGATTGCCTGTCCCCCCCCGTCCCAAGAAGTTCGATTGTGGTGTACAACTTTATTGGTATGGTAGTCTCAGTCTGTTCTTGCTTCATGCCCCCCCCCAAAAAAAGGGGTATTAAGTATTGTATTCGGCTACTTTTAGAACCTCAATCCTATTCTAAACTACATACACCCACGAATCTGTGGTCCGAAATAATCCACAAAAATTGTGCACCATCGTTGTGCTAGAAATGTTTCCAGCAAAAGGGTGTCCCTCTCCAAAATCCGCGAAACATCAAACTGTAGGGACTATATAGGTAGAAAATGCGTGTACAAAAGGCATTTGCCCGGGGTTGTGAGCGTTCACTGAATCTCCATTACCCTTCATATATAACTCCAGAAATGTTAACTGTTTATCTCCTGCGGACCACATGTTTATCTCGCTGTCGACGGGTAACAGCTTTCCCACACACAGAGAGACTAATTAACGGAAACAAAATGATCGCTCGTTAACTCGTTAACATTATTGCGTTATCGTCGAATCTGTTTTCGCTCTGCTGGTTTTAGGTAAGTAACAGGTGGTCATGCTTTCAGGAGACAGGCAAGATGGTTGGTTGGTGCGTTCCCTACTCCTGGAACGTCTCCATCCCACCTAGTGCACCAACAATTTGAGAGCTCCAACGAAGACACAGAAGACACCTATCACAAATCATCGCCCTTTGAAATTTCAAAATTAGAAATGTGTGGAATGCCATGACGTCATCACAGATTAAGGAGTTTGCCCTAAGGTTCAAATATGGAGTGACTGACAGTTGTTGCCAATCCGGTCTAACTCTTTCAGGGAAAGTGCAAAGAAATACATCTTAAGGCAGAAGGGTGACTATAGTAACCATTTTGATAACCTCAAGCCTTAGGCGGAACAACAGACTTGGATTTTTCTATGTGCCTATATACTTACTTGCTAGCTCATCTAGTCTGATGGCAGGTTTCTGTGTAGCTTCTAGGTTCAAGGTAAATACGGGGGGGGGGCATCATCGAGTCATCGTCAGCCTTACACGTTGGAGGGTAATGAGATTTACAGACGGTTGTTGACCGGGTTGGTGCCATGACTTCCCCGTTACCAGTCTAGGGAGGACGCTACGAATGGATTATCACTTAAATTTGGTTGGATTTGGAACATTTCCACTTCCACTAAAATCCCGCTAAGATATGTGAACTTAGTCCGACCATGGAACATGAGAACAAGGGTGGCGCATTCCGACTTAATTTTTAAAACTCTAAAGTAAATCATCGCGTAGACCATGTCTACGCATGGTCTACGCAAAGGACCAATGCGGGTGAGACATTATATAAGATGTATTTGCGTGCTGCATGGCGCTTTATGCTTGTAACCATGGAGAATTAATTAAAGCCTAAGGATTGATATTGCTCTATGCTTCAAAGTTCAATCATGATGTATTCATATGGCACTCCGGTCTTCCATTAACACTTATTTACTTATGTTAACTCTCGATCTCTGTATACGCCATTCGGAATGGTTAGGCCAAAGGATAAAGGCGCCCCCACTCAAGATGGCATTCTTGACATACATTACCGAGTAACATTAACAAAACCCTCCCCACGTATTCCACCGTTTTAGTTAGACCATGGAAAATAGCTCCATGATTGGACCACAGTTTGGCATCATAGTGAACACGGTGGAGAATGACGTTTTTGCGGGTAAGGGATGAAACCAAACCACAACCATGCTGCAACCAATTATCCCGATTCTCCATGCTCGCACGATGTCATACTCATCAACATGTCGTCATGTTCGAGACGGTACTTTTTTTCAATATTAATGCTCAAAAATAAAAACTAAATCACTCAAGTTCACATGGAGTAGCAGTATCCAATAACACTGTAACCTCTCTTTCAGCCAATTCCACCTGCAAGCAAATCTTTCGTTATTTCATAATTTTGAGTTAGTCACATTTAATCACAACAAACAGGTTAACTGTAATGGTTAAAGAGGTACCTGCCTTACCTTCGCAATCACTTCACTCACTCGAAATAAATCTCTTGCTCTCCTTCCTTATCCACGGTAAGTTAAAATTCACAAACCTTCAACTAGAGGCACGTTGTAGAGGTGTGTTACTTTTCAATTCGACACAGTACATGGGCTTCTCATCCGAGCTTGACGAACAGCGATAAATTTCGATATATTTCGGTCGCAGTCCTCGGTACATCGATACTGCAGATTTCCACATGCAGCTAGCTGCCTAGATTAACACAAATCGTAGGAGCCGTCCTCTAGAGATTTTGGTGACAACACTGCCACCCGCCGATGAGAGCCAGCCATTGGCCGAAATACTTGCTGACATTACCTCATTATGCACGAGAAAAGCAAGTGAGAACCAGTCACTGTTCCAGTTTCTTCGACGTCATAATGCATATTCATGAAGCGCGTAAAAATGTGCAGTTATCGTGACTCAATATTCATTAGGACCTGAAATCCAAGATTCAGCACCCGTGAACTGCCTCCGTGGTGTAATGACGTATTTTGCATGTGGGTAGCTGTTTCTATTTATGATTTTTTTTCCGGAAGCAGTCGGTACGAAGTTGGCAAGAGACACAACATCCGTGATAAAAAACCATCAAGAGCAGAGTAACTGTGGAAAGCCAGGGTGGTATAATTGCAAAAAAAATCTCCTGATTCAGTCCTTAGAAAAGAATGTAAAACCCACTCTTTAATGACGCGAGGAGGGTACTTTAGCCTTGTTTGAGCCAAAATCAACATATACAATCTGAATCTGAAAAGGTCTTGTATGTTATAAATCGCATGCTTCGCCTGAAGTAAGTTTGCTTCCTGCCGACGCGGATCCAATAGAGGGAGCTGTTGACAATTTTTGGTTTCGTCTCTTTCGCCTAGCCTAGAGGGCAGTGTTTCATGAAGTTTAGGACCCTGCTTCGAGACCGTCCTGCTCAGGCCACCTCCAGTGAATCTACTACAGGGACATCAACTTGTCCATTGTCTGACCATTGACCAACATAGGGACTATCTTTCTTTATCCCCTGAAAATAAATATTTGAAATTTATGTTATGACGGGGACGATCCCAGTAGACGAAGCCAGATTTAGAAAAAGGTCATAGCCAAGAACCGAACTGAACCTTTCTGAAACCTCGATGATGTCTCCAGTTTGCCCCTCCTTTGAATTCAAACCTTTTTGTTGCGTTTAGTCATCAAAATGCAAGTCACGTTAAATGCAAAACTGTTGAGTAAAGTTGGAATAAGGAGTCAAAATCTACATTGTAGATTTTTTTTCACATACAGTTTGTGTGTTGTGCCATTGGAAAGAAAATTATCCGATGTGACAGCAGTCCTGTTAATTTGTTTAATCCTCATTGACCCTGTTCCTGTAAAAATCTGACCCATGAAGAAAATCCTCCCCAGTACGACCTGGGCTGGGTCACAGTATACTTTCACGGATCGCTAGTTTAGAAGAGATCCCGGACAAAGCAATGGAACAATAGAAGGCATAGCTTTGAGTACACAGCTACAGCGACGAGAAAGCTTGTTGATATCCTGTGCAGTTGCAACATACCAACTGTTCCATTTCTCCATGTCCCAGAGAATCCCTCGGAAAACCTACACCCGGCGTGTCGGATGTCACGACGGTCCAGTACCGGCAAGACCCAATTTTTCAGGATAACATGCCTCCTCCTTCGTATTTTCCTCGGGAGAATCGGCGGGCTGCAACGATCAGTCAGCATGGAGTTTTTCTCGAGGAGGTGAGACTTCAAGGAACGCCTCGTGTCTACATAGGTCCTTTCAAACGCCGGCAGCCTGTGTGTGTCCGACTGTCAAACTCAAAGGTAGGCTTACATGAAGTTGGACTCTCATTTTTGCGCAAAATGGAAAGAGTTTCATCTACGAACATCACTTGACACGCTGTGCATAAACCCTATGAGAATAGGCTGAAAGCGTCTATGTCCGGGTAAACTCGTCAATATTTTCCCCCTTAAATTTGACATTCCAGAACATGTTTTCACTCTCTGGTGGTTGATACACCACCTTAGAAAAAAATTTGTGATGTCCGTTTGTGAAACTCTTTGTACCTTAAGAGAAATGTGACGAATTTCCTCCGATTTACACCTCACAGAATCACCAAAAATCTGCAAAAATTAGATTCACCCCAAGAAATAGCCACAAAACATGCACATTGTCCATATCTGTGGACTAGAGTTTGGGTAATTTAATTTACTTAATATTCTTTTAATCCTCCACAGCTATGCTATCAGATCCCACTGAAGAGAATCCTCAATCCAAGGAATTTCGTCTACTTGGTGTTGGGTTGTTTTGTTTTTGTCATATTGGCAAATGGTAAGTACATGTACTTGACCAATCAATCTGTACATTGTCTCAATTTTGCTCAGTCAATCATATCTGTGTGATAGTTCCCAGAAGCTGGACATAGAGTGTCGTTTATATCCGACAGGTCACTGACTACAACGCAAATGTTGAAATGCTTGGGATGTAGCGTACTGAGATGATGTTTCTATGGCTTTGAATAAGGATTAGTTAGTCTGGAAAATGATCTTGATGAGAATAAATTTAAAGTTCCAATGGTACAAAAGCCTGTAGATGAAATGATGACGTGTTTGCAGTGTCCAAGTTTTTCATTGCAAAGGGTTTGTCATGAGTAGCAATCACTGCTACAATTTGTTAAGCCATTCACCGCACTTTAAGCCTAACAGTCCCAAATCCTCCAATTTCAATACGATTTTACATACACCCTAGGGGGTTAGGGTTAATGAAGTGGACTTAGCAGGTCCGCACAGTATTGCCCACTAATGCTTTGGATGCAGAGGTGATTCTGCCTTAAGCAGAAATAACCCTCAGCGATTGAAAGGATCAGTGTTGGTCGGAAGTGTTCATTTTGCTGGTAGCTACGTGCCCGTAGCACGTGCATAATCTCACAGTTGTTTGTGAACCAGTGAATTGCATTTCGGACCAAAGGAGCGTTAATCACAAGGAAAATTGCGCCCTCTCTTGGTCCAGCTCGAGGCTCATAGAGTTTGACCTGAGACAAACAATGTGGTTGCATCTGTTCTGATTGCATTAGCTGCATTTCGCCGTCTGAACATCTGTTCACACTGAAAAACAATACAGCAGCCTCTGAGTAGCCAGAAATCCCACGTTAGAGTATCTGTAATGTGGTCACGATCGATGTATCTTTGGTGATAATCATAATTTCGTTCATTTTATATCCTAGCGCGTTTGAGAAAGTCTGTCATTACTGTAAACAACCAGCTGCGACCAGTGAAGGAACTAATCGAAAGATCACATGACGGCCTACGTCACAACGCCTTACAGCCACTGGCTCAGGACAACCAGCCTTTGTCGAATGCATCGCGGTTGGGAATGGCATACAGTCCGCGAAACAACTCGACGAGATGGCCATTGACGAAACCAGGTCAAGCATTATCCAATCACACAGCCCGGAACGACTCCTCGACGCAGCCATTGGCCAAACCGGGTTCAGCCTCATCCAATCATGAAGCCGGACCATCAGGCAAGCAGCCAAGAGTCGTCCTTTTGGTCACTAATCAAGGCTTTGTGGATTTCACCGAGAACTTGATGCGAAGCATGGAGAGAGCCAGCTCCCATCCCAACATTACCATAATTACCGAGGATCAGGCATCATTTACCAATTTCTCCATTCGCCAACCAAGAGTGCACGTTATAAAAACACCAGATTTAAAGAGCGTGCCTGAGAAGCAAGACGCTTTTGATTTTGGTGTCAAAGGTTACGTGCAATTGATCAACCGGAGGCCAGGTTATGTTCTAGGTTTCTTACAGAAGGGTTTTGAGGTCTTTTTTGTCGACAGTGACTCTTTCTGGTTTAAGGACCCATTTCCTTACTTCCAAGGCGACTTCGATGTCGCTTACCCAAAAGACGCTCCCTGGGCTTACAACGCGGGTATTGGGTTCTACAAACCCACGGCAGCCTCCATCAGATTCCTTAAACACTGGATACAAACCATGGCAACCCAGGCCAAAACGAAGAAGCCCCAAATTGACCAGTTTGTCATGAATTCTATCATACGTTCCAGACGAATTCGAGGTCTTCGTGTCAGGCACTTGAAAGACATCAACTTTCCTTGTGCCAAATACTACTCGAAGACACAGAAATGCGACAATTACACAACCGATACGGTCCTTGTTCACGCTGCTTATTTGGCGGGACATGAGCTGAAGAAAACTATGTTTGAGCAATGCAAGCTCTGGCTCTTATAGAAAAGAATAAATCATAATGGCTTTTGGATTTTAGTAAAATAGCATATTCTAGTATCACACGACCACTGTATTCACTTGCCATTGAGTCCTGATATGCAGTAAGACACGTTCGTAACAGAAGAAATAGCCAATGGCTTCTGCAGGTTCGTGTGTTCTTGCCAGCCATAGCCGGTTCATCGCACGCGGCTTCGATGTCCCCTCTCCCCACGGACATGAATCACTCATTAGAGTCGTCGAAATTACTGCACTATATACCGAGACTTTATTCTCAAAGAATTTTTGCTCGTTACTTGTTACAAATTTTAGCAAAGGGGCAAAGAATATGCTGTAGTTTATTTTATGACGATGCGACAGTTGTTATGGTTAGTTTTCATTTTTTTTAAAAAAAACGTTTTCATTTCTTTTTTATATTAAGCGTTGCACTCGGCTTAACACACCGTTTGTATATTTTTCATGGTTGGTTTTTAATGGAATTTTTTTCAATGATCCTTACATAGGACCTTGTAATTTCCTTTTATGTAGATAATGTGCCTGAGCTCGATCAGCTATAGTTTTGTCCAGTTCTTTTCAACCTGTTTTTTTTTTGGGGGGGGGTTCTGGGAAATGATTCCTCAAAAATAAAATGTAACGTCATTATGATGTCCTTCCATATTTTTATGAATTGTTTTATTTTTTCTCATTTTGTCGTACTTTTCAACCGATTTTCTAAATTCAATAAGGGACATGACTACCTTCGAAGTTCTGTGTGTAAGACCTTGGATACAGTTTGTTGATGTACAGCATTTTGAAAATTTTCCCTGAAGGTATGAAGGTAATTCTTAAAGTGTGGCTGCAATGAACGTTTATTCAGACACAACTTGGTTTGTAATTTTTGGACTTTTCTTCAGTTAATGAGAAAAATTTGACACCTCTGTTATGTTAAACGCGTTGAACGTGCACTTTTTTAAGCACTTCAAATTATCTATGCCTTCCAGGAAACTGCAAATTTTTTAAGTAGTAGTTTTTGTGCACTAACCAACGTTACCTTGAGGTTTTCTTCCAGGGATGGGATGGCACGCAGTTTTGCTCGTTAATATGGAAATATCATTAACATAAAACCAAAAAGTAGCCGAACATTCTTTGGAATGGTGGAACAAAATTTGAAAATGAGGTTTCCTTGGACAAACTGAAGCATGTTGAAGTTTGTATCTGGAACATTTCCATTGCATCTACCCTTTAATACACATAAGGCAGTAGCCTATTTTGATCATCACCGGTACTGATAGGTTCACTTGGCAAGTACACGAATAGTCAAACATTATGTTGTGATAATGCTACCACATGGTGTGAATTGTTTATATTGGGTTGTTTTCGTCATGTGAATATTTCTTTAAAAGTACAATGTACATGGCGCCGTTATAGTGAGGTGCTTACAGAGAGAGTAGTGTAACTCCACTCATCCACGAGGGCCCGTCATGGACAGGAATTCTTGCTGAACTTATCTTTTAATGCATAGAAATGCTGGTGCTTTTTATACGCATTCATGCGCTACTTTCGTCGCCTAAAGTGAATTTCCTTGTACCGCAATTTTTGCGGAAATAATGACCGTCGTGCATGTGACTAGCTCTCGGCCAATCAAGATACAAAACCCGTTGTCGACGCATCGTAATGGCGATTAGGGCCATATGAGGAAACGCGGACACATTTCCTGATCCAAAAAGCAATCCAACCCCGAAAATCTCTTCTCCAAAGTTTTATTACTGGGCCTGAATTGGCAGAGTCGGTAGAAGACAAACATGCCTCCTCCCCTGGAGATTCAACACGCCGCAACGACTGTTAAGCATGTGGTTATCATGAAGAAAGTCGAACTACGAGAAAGGCCTCGTGTGTACGTACGCTCTTCCACTCGCCAGTTGCCCGTGTCTGTCCGGCTGTCGCAGGTACATGTAGATGAAATTGGGTTCTTCTTTTGGCATGATATTACCAATATTTGCAACTTTTCTAACTTTTTGCTAATATTCCATCATAAAAATTCGAATCAACAATGAGAACAACCAGGTCTTTGTTGTGGATTGATTTATTGTTTATAATAAATAAGTACCGGGTGATGTCGCCGACCACAGTGATGTGATGTGTCACAAAGTTTGGTGACTCGAGTCGAGTCATTCAGTCAAGAAATCGAATCGAACCACTTTGTGCAGTCAAGTCAAGTCAAATACCGAGCTCGAGTCAATTTGAGTCAAAAATTTTAAAACAAAATACAATAAAGAGACAACTACATGTAAGTCATACTTTGGTATTTTTTTTTCATTTAGACATACTGAAAATAAATTAAGGTGACAGGTATATAACCAACTAAAAGTTTGCTTTTAATTTTTTGAGACTCGAATCTTATAAGCTTGTACTCGAGTCGAGTCTCCATGAAAGATTCAAGTCGAGTCCTTTTGTCACTGAAACTCGAGTTGAGTCAAGTCATTTACACGTTGGGACTCTAGCCGAGTCGAGTGGCTAAAAATTGTGACTCGAGTCGGACTTGAGTCGAGTATTTGACTAGAGTCAGTACAACTCTGCCGACATATTGTACAAACTAAGCACAATTTTACACAACACTTGAGGAGAGTCTGGGTTAATTTTCCAAAGTTAATTACTTTATTTTACCTGAATATTTGTACATTTTCATCCACAGCTATGCTATCAGCCAGTAGTGAAAAGCCTTCTGCAATCGACAGCTTTCGTCTATTTGGTATTAGGTTGTTTAGTTTTTTTCATATTTGCAAATGGTAAGTACTTAACAAATTGAAACTTACTCAGTAAAATCATCCATGAAAAACCTGAAGTACCGTCATGAAAACAAACCTTCAGAAGAGAACTCTTTATTACAGATCGCTCATACCCTGTGACAATTCACTGACTGAAATGGGTCATTTCAAACATCCTACTAAGTTAACCGGCTCAGATTTTCTTGAAAATTTCTTTTTTAAATACCGTACAATATCGAATAGAGGAAAATGGAATTTCGGTTTTTCATCTGTAATTGTCTTCTCGATAGCTCCTGACACCCTTTGAAAATGTGGGGGCGTTACCAATTGTCGGCCTCCATTTATCGCTTGTATGCTTTGGTAGCATTTTGTAATCCTTAACATTGAGTTTCTAGTAAGGGTAGATTGCCGACCTTCGTGGAGCAGGCTAGCTTATTCAACCCATAATATTTTTAGATTTGACGACCGTGCCCACTAACATTCTTCTATTATGCAGCGCACAAACATATGCACGAAAGGTTACAGGCTTCAAGCTTCCGTGTTCAGTTACGTTGTTCAATCACGATTTCATTTCGCACAAATGAAGGACCACACAAAATGCAAAAGCAACAAAGCGATGTATTATGCCCGGCGCACGGCGTCCGGGGGGAGGGCTCGCCAGACAGATGTCGGTAGGTTTTTTTTTATTTAACTTCCCCCATACGATATTGGAAATAACTTGCCTGTCTATAGCGTATTTGTAAAGACGTATTTGACTGACATGACGGCCGAGTTTCATAGTTTATATAACTGTTCATGAGAGTAGTTTCCTAACGGCCTGATTACCAGCACTAACTGCTATGACAATGTTCCTTAAATATGTAAAAACAAAACAGGGAAGACAACTTGCATTTACCGACCATCTTTGCACTGCAGGTGGACGTTTTCCCGACCTATTCCAGCCAAAATAGCGTTCACTTTCATTAATTAACGTGTGTGTCCAAATTCTTACAAGTTTGTCGATGTTGTTCTTACTAAGGTTTATTTCACAACTGCTAAGTTTACTTTCCTTAGTCGTATTTTTCCCTTCTTTGTTTATTAAAATCAAATCATTACCAGCTTTTTCCTCCAGGTTAGTGAAGTGGACATATGAAAATTCCACCTAGCCTCTCGACAGTGATTTGTTCACTGATAATGGTTGTTCAGAATCAACCATTATCGGGAAGTAAAAACTCGCCCTTAAAAACTGAATAAGTCGCTATTTGCCGTGCTGAGCGTGGAGTCATTCAGAAAATTGATACTCAAACTTCGTTTCAAAGCTACTACGGTTTGCTGAGATCCACAGTTACAGTATCAAGTGATTGAGTTGCAGTAATATGATTTTTGAGGATTGAGGGAGGTTAGGGTTAATCATTAGCAGTAATCATATCTGTCTCTTTTTGTAACTCTAGCGGATTTGAGCAAGTCAGCCGTTCCTGCAAAACACCAGCTGCCACCAAAAAGAGAGCAATTCGAAAGCTCACGTGACAGCCTACATCACAATTCATCACGGCCATTAGCTGCGAGTAACCAGTCTTTATCAAAATCCCGAAACGACTCAACGAGATGGCCAGGTCAAGCATTTTCCAATCACAAAGCCTGGAAAGACTCCTTGAGGCAGCCATTGGCCAAGCCAGGTTCAGCCTCATCCAGTCACGAAGCCCGACCATCTAGTGAGCCGCCTAGAATCGTTCTATTGGTCACTAATCAAGGCTTTGAGGATTTCACCGAGAATTTGCTGCGAAGCATAAAGAAGGCCGGCTCCCGTCCCAACATTACCATAATCACCGAGGATCAGGCATCATTTAACAATCTCACCGCTCGCCAGCCTGGAGTGCACATTATCAAGGCGCCAGATTTAACGAACATGCCCGAAAAACAAGAGGCTTTTGATTTCGGTGTCAAGGGTTACGTGAAATTGGTCAACCGGAGGCCTGGACACATTTTGGGTTTCTTACAGAAGGGTTTTGAGGTGTTTTCCGTGGACAGTGACTCCTACTGGTTTAAGGACCCCTTTCCTTACTTCCAAGGCGACTTCGATGTCGCCTATCCAAAAGACGTTCCCTGGGCTTACAACGCGGGTATTGGATTCTACAAACCCACGGCAGCCTCCATCAAATTCCTTAAACACTGGATACAAATCATGGCAACCCAGGCAAAAATGAAGAAGCCTCAACTTGACCAACGTGTCATGAACACCATCATAAGTTCTAGACGAATTCGAGGTCTTCGTGTCAGGCACTTGAAAGACATCAACTTTCCTTGTGCCAAATACTACTCGAAGACACAGAAATGCGACAATTACACAACCGATACAGTCCTTGTTCACGCTGCTTATTTGGCGGGACATGAGCTGAAGAAAACTATGTTCGAGCAATGCAAGCTCTGGCTCTTGTAGAAAAAAAAGGACTACCTGAGAACTTGCCCATTATCCGTATGTCATGTGTCACAATAATGAAATGTTATTTTTATGAAGATTTCAGTCATGAAAGCAAGTGGAGCTAAATCCTGGTTTTGGTTAAGATATTGGTATCAGTCACGGCCGTAACGCCAATTGATGGAACAGAGCGACTGTATACATCTGTGAGAACTGGCTACAACCAGCAGGCTGTGACTTCCGTATCTGCCTGGAGCAGTAGCACCCCCTCATCGGCTAAAAGAGCCATGTTGGTGGGAAGTGTTCATTTTTGGGTGGTAGTGACGCGACTGTAACACGTGCATTTCATATAATCGTCGTGAACCGGCGAAGAACAGTTCGCATCAACGGAGCCTCCATCGCTGAGAAAATTGCATCCTCTCTTGGTCCAGCTTGGAGCTCATAATGCTCGTGTTTTGCCTGAATAATTTGGACCCACTCCAGTAAGCAGTGTTGACAGTTTGCTTTCTAAACCTTAAGATCCCGAATATTTTGAGATATCTGTAGCCGCAAAGGTCATGTGACTAACTCCTCTCGTTCCCGAAATTTTCCGATTCCGCTGATTTCGGGGTGTACCTCGTTGCAGATTTCCCCGATAGTTTTCCACGAAGGTACCAATTCCTCGGTCTTTCTTGGTATCTCTGAGCAAATTGACCTCCACTTTTAGGCAACTTTGATCATGTTGACTGCTCAGAATCTAACGGACGTCGTGCCACCCGAGAAGAAGAAATAATCCTAACTTCTGCTTTCTCGATTCAGTTTCATAGCGCTGATTTAAGTTGAGGCTTGATGTGATTCTCAGAGACCAGAGCGGTAAGCACATCAGACAAGCTTGACCCTGCAGGAAGAAATGTTGCTTTAATCAGGGTCATGCAATAGCACTCTGCGAGGCGCATGCAAATGTAAGATAATGTGAATTGTGAGATTATGCTTAAAGGGTAGTTGCAATAAATTTGTTTTAAACAAACCTTCAGAATGCACCTTTGTGTCTCAGATGACCTCATTTTCAACTTCTCAACTTATTTTCAACAATATTTCCAAGGGTATTTTGTTTCCCTGTTTAGTTTTTATGCTAATTAGAATTTCCACATTCATGAGCAAAATTGTGATGTCCTCCCAGGATTAAAGCCTAAATATTTCATTGGTTATAATTGTACACAAAAAATGCATTTTTGTAGATTTTTCTGGAGTGAACATCTCTGCTTTGCTAATTCATTGTCGTTTTTGTGCATATCAATAAGTGAGCATCAATGCTTTTCTCAGAGATGTTTTCAGTGAGTAAATTGGGGAGTCAGGTTGGCGTAGTACTTCGTCTCTTATCTTCCACCTCTGCAGCCCAGGTTCCATTCCCGGTTCGGTCTACATGTGGATTGAGTTTTCAGTCCCTGCCTGACTCTGTGGGTTTTACCCAAAATATTCCTCTGGGGTTTTCCTCCCACCTCTAAAACTGTACCTGCTTCTCACTGTCTCCTCTCTACAGATTTCTTCAGGCTTACTAGCTACAGTGCCCAGGAAAGTTTTGAAAAATCTTTGGTTTCATTACCAGGAAGACTTAATAATTCTGGGTTCATAATTTAAAAGAAAAACCTGTGCAATAAACCACGTCTTCCCTGGGTGACATCACAGCAACAGCGCCCTCATTTCTCCAGGAAAGCATGGATAATTTTAATTGTTTAAAAAAGTGCACCTTTCGAACGTCCATCAAACCAAATGGAAGTGTTCATACACAGAAGAAGAGTAAACAAAGTTGTAGAAATTTGTGTCTATGAAAATTCATTGCGGCTACCGTTTAACATATAAAGCACAGCTTTTAAGCACAGCTTTCGTGCTGTTTAGTAGTGCTGTGAAATTGGCCCTGCCTGGTGTCTGAAACGGAGATTTAATTTTGCCTTCTTATGCTTTTTTATTGTAGTTAACTGTATATATTTGCCTTAGGCATTGGTAATGTCTTTATTGTCAAAATTAACTTCACAGTTTACACAGATTTCCTAAGATAATTAAGACCCAGATGTTTAAAGATGAATTTCTTAGTTAAACAAGAATTTTTATCAATCGCAAGGTGATAAAAGTCTCCTTAATACCCAGTTGTTTAGAGAGGGATTTCTCAGTAAATCATGATTGTTTGTTCATAAATTCCCAGACCTGTTTGATTCATTAGCTGAATGATTGTAATAACTTAGGCATTTATAAAGCGTTCTTACACCAACTGGTATTGCAACGCTTTACACATTAAATAAAGAAATACAGAATCAGAAATTATAACATGATTGGCTACGAGGCTAAAGAAGTGCGAAAAAGATGAGTTTTGAGAAATGTTTTCAAGTCACGAAGGGGAGTTGCGCGACAGATCTCATGAGATAGATCACTCTAAAAGTCAGGACAGCGGCTCCCTTGCGTCGTGCCATCGGGTCGTACCGTCGTGCTTCAGGCGACGTAATAGGCGACGCGGTGCACGACACGACGTACGACGCGACGCACGACGGTACGACGCGATGGGCGACGGAAGGGGTGACGTTTAAGAGGCAAAAAATGCAACATGGAAAGGACCTAAGGCAGCACGACGGACGCGACGGGCAACGGCACGACGTGTGTGTACAAAAGTAACGGCAAGAAGGCGACGGTGCGACCCGACGGCACGACGCAATGGAGTCGTCGTGCCGTCGCGTCGTGTAGTTGTGTCGCCTTGAGAGAGGTTAAAGAGAGAGCGAAATGTGTGTCGTAAATAGTACACATACTTTATAGCTCGCGGGATCATCAGGAAGACTGCTTAGTTATGCATAACTGAACAGAGGAAAGTGGATTACATAACTGAACAGAGAAAAGTGGAGTAGGAGTGTGTATGCTTACGCCTGCAAGCACTAAACGCAAGCCTGTATGTCTCTCTACAATGTATTAGACCATTGTGATTCTACCTCCGTGATTAGACCTATTCCAAGTTCCGTATGCCATCAAACGCCGACAGCTTTCTTATCCAGAACAGTAATTACACGACAAAATGCGAACACCTCCGCCATATTTTCCGCGAAGGAATCGAGTGGACAAAATCAGCCAGGAGCGCGGAGTTCTTTCTGAGGGACTGCGAGGAACGGTTGGAACGCCCCATGTACAGGTTTCTAGTAGTTGGCGATCCATGCCTTACGCTGCGCTCTCAAAGGTACTTTTTGCATTGTGTTCTGAGATTACCTTGAAAAGCAAGTCAAGCAGGGAAGGGATAGTAGGGAAGGGTGTGTAGTAGGCCACCTGACACCACTTTTTTCCCCCTCAAAAGAGAGCCTTTTGCTGTTCATTCTGTTTCATTGTGTCTTCCATCTCATTCTGCTCCGATCCCGTGGGTTCAAAATGTGTTTCCTGTTTCACTCAACATTCACGATGTAATTAATTGTTTAATGGCGTGGTATCAGACTATTTTTAGACTCCATTTAGGTTCAAAGCCTCCCTTTCAATTGTTTCCAATCTGGCGTAAAACACTGAGGAATGTTTTATCATAAATATGAAATTAATCATCAGAGTAGACAGGTACTAATTTGAAAGGAAGTTTGATGCTTTCAAGTTCCAAAAATGAAAAGTTAACCTCGCTTTCAATTTCCATATATCCAACTCATGAATAAGGTCCCATGGAATGGGATTTCCAAAAGTGGCCTCTTGAGATGTGCATCACTTCTTTATTTTCTGCTGGCATCCTTTTCCATGTTAGGGGCTGTCAATGCAAGGATAAATAATTGCTGGAGATGATTGGATTAGGGAGGGGGGTAGACCAGGACCCTTTCCCAAGCCGACAGAAAATTTGGGTCCCCTCGAAAGAATAGCAAAATAACTTGTAATTTAATGCCAGATTAATTTGTTCATTTTCAGGAGAGAGTATTTTGTTTTTGTTTTGTGTGTTTTGTTTTATTAGTTTATTATTTTATATTTGTTTTTAACCACAGCTGTGCTATCCTTTCATGGGGGAAAGACTTCTCCAGCCGAGGAATACTGCTTATTTGATATTAGCTTCTGTATTTTTCATGTTGGCAAGTGGTAAGTACTTGACAAATTATGTAATACGAAGTTATGTAATACGATGTTGGCAAGTGGTAAGTACTTGACAAATTATGTAATACGAAGATGTGTAAAGTGTTCTTTGTGGAAATCAGCGTCAAAAGAGCTCTCATAAGCTAAATGGATTGCCGGATTTGAAAACTAGCATACTCCACCCCTCAAATAAAACTTTATCAGCCTGAATATAGCTCTGTCGTCTCATTGGTGGTTTGCTGATCACTTGTCATTGAATGATTTTGTCCCATCGCAGGGTACAGCTGCACCACAAAAATAACAGTTCCATTCCATGGTAAATGGAAACCACGGTCGTGGTGGACTGGAACTTGTCGTCTATTACCTCATGAAAATAACAATTATTCTTACAATTTTCCCATTCATTCACTGTGTATTTGTAGACTGAATGTCACACTTCCCATAAAAATCAGACATTATTTTTATATACTTGTAGAAAGCTACCATTCACAATCAGAATGCAAGTTACCAAATAATGCAGCAGATTGGGGTGCTTTTAAAATGCCCAGATCAAAAAAAATTAAACATTAAGTCAGTGCCCATCTATTTCATCCCCTAGCAAGCTTGATGAGCAACTCATCTTTCAGCACAAGCTTCCAGCAGCCACAATTAAAACAACTATTCGAAAGATCACATGACAGCCTACGTCACATCTCATCACAACCATTGGCTGCGGGCAACCAGTCTCTATCCAATGATGCATCGCAGTTCGGAGAGCTAGGCAGTCCCAGCAACGGCTCTTCGTGGCAGCCATCAACCAAACCAGGTCTAGCCTCATCCAGTCACAGAGTTGGACCATCCGGCGAGCCACCTAGAATCGTTCTATTAGTCACCAATCAAGGCTTTGTGGATTTCACCGAGAACTTGCTGCGGAGCATGAAGAAGGCCGACTCCCATCTGAACGTTACCATAATCACCGAGGATCTGGTATCATTTAACAATCTCTCCATTCACCAACCAGGAGTACACGTCATGAAGGCTCCAGATTTAAAGAGCATGCCCGAGAAACAAGACGCTTTTGATTACAATTCCAAGGGATACAAGCAGTTGATCAACCGGAGGCCTGCTTACGTTCTGGATTTCTTACAGAAGGGTTTCGAAGTGTTTTTCGTCGACAGTGACTCTTACTGGTTTAAGGACCCATTTCCTTACCTCCAAGGCGATTTCGATGTCGCCTTTGCGAAAGACTATTACAATGCTTTAAATGCGGGCATCGGGTTCTACAAACCCACGAAGGCTGCCATCGAATTCCTTAAACGATGGACACAAACCATGGCAATCAATGCAAAACGGAAGATTCTGAAGATTGACCAAATCGTAATGAACGGAATTCTTCATTCCAAACAGATGCGCGCCCGTGGGCTTCGTGTCAGGCAGCTGACACACGAGAACTTTCCCTGCGCAAGGTATTACCTCAAAACGCAGAAATGCGACAATTACACAGCCGAGACAGTGCTGCTTCACGCTGCTTATTTGGCGGGACATGAATTGAAGAAGAAGATGTTTGAGCAATGTCAACTCTGGCTCTTGTAGATAAAGAAACACCGAATTGCCTGCCTCTACCCCCGAAACTAGCCGATGTCACAGGACTAATGGAATCTGGCTTTGAATTAAGACAAGGAAACTAACTGTGATTTAGCCAAATAACAGTGCATTCACTTTTCTTGGTTGTCCCCCCACAAAAATCTTCACTTCAGTAGCCCGGACGCGACCAGCTCATGCAGTGTGACTACATATACAATTAACCTTTTTAAAAAGACCGTGTGGGTGAGGACTTTGAGAGCATTTTACAACCCGAGGATTACTAAATGCATAACTGTTTTCATTGTTACATACTATCATAATAAAGATGATGTACCTGAAAGATTGGACCGGAATAGCTCTTACAACTTTTGTGTTGTAATTGTTTTATTTATCGTTGGCTTCTTGGAGCCTTGAAGGATAAACCTTTCATCATTTTTCACTTTCTCTGTTAGTATGGACGAAAAGATTACTGTTACATTGATGCATTGTTAGGGTTCTGGGGAGATAGAACAAGATTTTTAGGCAGTTGCGCTGCTGGAAGATCAAAATCCTCTGTTAACAGATCAGCGCATTATCGGAAAGTACAAATAAATTAGCGTGAAAGTTAATGGAGAATCGAAATGAATATTCGGCTTGGCTTGAGAAATTAGGGTGCAAGTTTTACGCTGGAGATGTTGAATAGGCACTTTTCCCACTTGGAACCCAATGGTAGAACTCTACTTTCAAGTGAAAAGTTTGATAGTGATCGGATAGAGGGATACCAGGATAAGTCTTCAGGGGCTAGCCTGCACGGAAAAAATGCTTAAAAATGCAGGCCTAATGCGAGTGCAGGCTAGGCACGTCCGTATGACTCAAATGTGCACGTTCAAAACTCGTGCCAGCCCAAAAGTGTTGGCGCCCTCTTGTGAATTGTTGTTGTCTAGTCAACATGTATATGTACGTTGTAAACAATGTCAAGATGGCGTCGTCCAGTGGTAGAACTGCGAAAGAGCTTAAAATGATGATTTCCGCTAGCAATCAGGTAAGCAACATCATAGGATTAAAACTGTTACAGTCGCATGCTAATGGGATTAGCAGATAACGAAAAAATCTTGTGGAATATTATTTCCCAAAAGGATGCAGTCTTTATCATTTATGGATGATTGACGTGACCATGGCT